TGGAAAGAGTCTTGAGAGCATTTGACATCGTTGGTCCGCCCTTCTGGAAAAACGAATCCACTGATATGCATTAGCCACTATCACTCATTCATGAGCGCTCGCTCAGAGAGCATCTCACCAAGATCTCAAGGTGCCCTCACGTTTGTGGCGGCGGTGCTCGGACATGATATTCTCCATGACCATAGGAAGATAAGCTGCGTTGTCTTTACTACCAATGACTGGCTGCTGAGGGCGGACTGGGTTCAGTGGGGGAGCAGCGTGTCGTGCGCGTGGTGTAGCATTCGCATCCACCGATTGAACAGGGGATGGGCGACTAGAATAGCTGTTATGTCTAGAAGAAGCCTCCCCTGATGATAATAAGCGGGTACGATCATACCTGTCGTTACTCGTGGCGCCACCGGTATGTGCTCGTGGAGGTGTTGTGATGCGACCAGTACCGATAAGAGACTCCGAGAGAGGGAGAGGATTATCCAGGTTGGCAGTCGAACTCGAGTAACCACTGTGACTACTGCCAGGCGGTCCAGGAAAGCGGTTCGTAGCAATTTGGAGCTGATGTAGGAGTTGTCGCTGGCGGTTCTCAGCTTGTTGCAGACGCTGGCTTAGCCCGACAATGTGGCCATCGTGTTCTTCGCGGATGCTCTGGATTTCGTCGCCGAGTGCCTGGAGCTGTGCTTGAATTTGGCGAGGGTGTGGTAGCCGCGAGTCCATCTCGTAGGCAGGACGCGCGAGTTGAGCGAGAGAGTGGCTAAAGACGGCTGTAAAGGCTCTACGAGCTGAGTCGACGGTTCAAGGAGCGGGATAGATGAGAGCTTTACTTCAGAGGCCACATCCAGAGGTGGGAAATGTCTTGGCCAGGGAAAGTATACGTCATCTATGAGCGGTACGGCTGCTAAAACGAGACAGGCCCGGATTCAATTTCATTACGGTCAAGCATTGATACTATCAGATTAGGGTCGTACGTGATTGGAGTACTGGAAGATCTATACTCGAATGCGAAATTGTTTCCCATTTCCTAGCTACTTATGCTGGTGTAGTTGATCTTGTCTTCGTCGCTGCTTTGGGGGTACCCAGATGGGATTCGCCGCGTTATCATATCGCTTTTCCTATCTGACAACACCGGCAGAGACATTATCCAAATAGCATAGTGACAAAGCGTGCTCTTGGTAGCTACATGAATTTTGCAGTGTCTATCTAGTACAGAATGTGGTGGTGTACATGACTACCTGGGTATGATATAAGACGCAATAAAGGCGGAGGAGCCATCAGGAAACTATGGAGCAACTATCGTATACCATACTCGGCTAGAAGGCTAGTATAGTCGCCCTCCCAGGGCTCACTGCCAGACTCTTGTGTTTCCTCGTTGTGCGCGTCTTCTCTTACGGTCACTGTCACAGTCTCTCCACCGCTCTTCACTGAACTAGAGTCATGCTCAAAGTACTGTTGAGATGAATCCCGCCGCGGCCTGTTCTGGAGGTAGCGTAGTGAGCGTTTGCAACGATTCCAAATGCTTGCTTGGTCTTCAAGACGGCCGCAAGTGACATACTGGCTAGCGTTAGAGAAACAAATGTTCTAGACTCTATCAAAACACTCAGGACATACCTCAATATTCCCGTCCCGAATTCTGCGAACAACAACAGCGCTTTCCTTCGCTGCTTCTTCGGCCCTGAAAGTCTCTAGTACCGACAGATGGCGCTTTTGCCATGGTGCCCGCCATTTGATATGACGCCAGTGCATGGTCTAGGAAGCAGTATAGACATCAAGTTGCGATCGAATCTGAGTTCTCTCTTCTAAAGGCGAAGGGAAGCTTTCGCATTCGGTGGCTGAATACCAAATTTCACACTGGGACTATGTTAGTTGGCTTCTACAGACTATACTGGATATAGCAGCACGGGTGTCGAGTCCTCTTCGCTAGTGCTAGTGACTACCTAGGTAAACAACACGGACCACAATCTGAATATCATTAACAAATTGTAGTGACAACGAAATCCATCGATATTTTCTCGTGCAACTAGATCGATCATGTCGCCTCTCCCAAAGCAGAACACATATTGAAGGTTCAATGAATGGCGCTACACCTTCACTGGAGCTTTTTGTTTGTCACCACAAACAGTCACAGGCTTGGCTGCTTCCTCTTAGCGAGTTGAGAGCGTGTTTCTAGAGTGTTCGCTTCCCCTTTCGCTTCTGCTCCAGCTCCTTACCATCAAATTGAAGTCGAAACACGCGTTGCAATCACTCTCCGCCATCAGCAACCAGGAAAGCATGTCGGTCCCCCCTCGCATAAATTCTACTTCCCCATCAGCGTCCTCACCGACAATTCCGCGACTGGTGGAGAACCGCAACTATACGCGTTTTGCAGACGTCGGCTTTGGCAACCGGCTGGCCGACGCGCGCAACCTCGTACACACGCGGAGGCCCTCCCTTTCTCTTCGTCCAGAACATACAACCGCTGTAGGTTCGGTTGCATCTGAAGTCGCCAACTCGATTCGGCGGGCTGCCTTGATCCCGCCCGGTGCGCCAAAGCATGGATGGGAGAAGGGATCATACCGGTCACCCTTCGACTATCACATCCCTGGCCATACCGTAGGTGGCAGAGACACGCCTCCTGGTAGATCAAATTCGCATGCCTCTTTTGCGGGGCTATCTTCGCCTTCGCCTCTTCACAGCATAACGCCACTCTACACTTCGACGCCTCTTGCGACGCCTGCATACGAGATGAAGCCCAGACCTGAATCCGATTCACTGTGCCGTACGGTTACACCTGGTCCTGATGTAAGCTTCAAAGTCCTTTTCTTGCTTGAGTTGCGCGACTGACTGCTTCCAAGGCAAGGGAACGTCTTGTTCTCATTGCCCCCCTCCGCATGATTCGCGGAGCAGGGGTCCATTTTTGTGAGGATGACCGGGAAAAACTGTATTGTTTCATCGACGGTTACATGGCCGACTCGTTACACACTGTTGTCGAACGCGATGGCATCCTTCCCAATATCGTTTACAAGGTCAGCATTCCCATGACAGACGCCGCTTGGGTCAGCTACAACCAAGTTCTCGCTACATTCGGGTTCGCCAATGGTGTGAATGACATGCTCATTGCGGGCTCCGACAATTTCGACAAGTACACATACATGATCGATGATGTGAGCGCAGAACACGAGCAAGGCTGGAAGGTACTAGCGAGTTCAAGTGAGAGGAACCTCGACATGACAAGACTTTCGCAAGAGCTGGTGCAGATCTGGAAGAATACATGGATCGAGAATGGATCTGGCTATGTCGGAGTAGCCAAGGATATTGTGCAATAACGTAAGCAAAGGTTGTGACAAAAGTAGCAGGATGGATCTACCGGGAAACGCTAGCTCGGAAGCTCCCTGGCGCCTGTGGAATATTGCTTGCTGCTCAACGATTCGATACAAAGTCTTTACGGTATTCTTACACGGGTTTGCTCGAGTGTGAAACTGAGGCGTCTGATTTGAAAACACACAATCTCCTATTTAGACGATGTGCCGTTATCTTACATGAGAGCGCAACGTGCTGGACATTCTGGAATGCATTGTACTGAGACAGTCCAAATGTATGGAATATGTCGAAGTCGTTGGCCCTTCGCAATTATCCGATCATCAAAGGTACTTGCGAATGGCTCAAATCAGGGACGTGAACGATGGTCGTCTGTTGACGTTCAATCTCTGATGTCTTGTAGAGTATCCAGGTACCTAGGTTCCCTGAAGATGCATGATCAGTAAACTTAACACAACGCTACATCATTGCTGAGGTTGCTGGGCCGTATCTGATGTACGTGGAATCGCGCCCAGAAGGATGTGGTCGTGGCGCTGGCAAGCTTTCGCAAAAGGAAGCAGCGGGTCAAACTGCGGGCGAGAAGCATGAGCAAGCCCGAAGACGCTGTCGTGGGTGCGCTGCGTACGCTGCCTGCGCAGGTGCAACGTTGGTACGAGTGCAGCAAACATCTTGTCCAATGCAGAACTAGCAACGTGCCTTTTTCGACCGGTGCAAACTACCTCGGTACTGTTTCCAGGCATTCCAAGTTATACGTTGAGCATACACACGTTAGCCCATATGTCCCATCGCTTCCAAGGTTCGGTCGCAGTATTGTGCCGACTGGATGCGGCATGCTTTCCCCTTCCAGTAGTATCTGCGCTTCGGAGGGCGGCCTGTTCCATTGCTACCGAGGCCAGTGTGTATCCATGTTGAAAGAGCCACGGACATCGGGTGATTGCCAATCCAGGCGATGCATACCAAGGCAGCGTCGTGTGCAGAGTTTACAGTATAGTACGTGCAGTACACGGGTAACGTTCGATCAAGCATAGCCTCCGGGACTAAAGCTTCCCCACAACTCGTCTATTACCCTTGTCCCGGTAGTCATACGCCACCAGAATTATTGAAACAGTCATGTCTGCTCGTGACACTATGTAGCGCAGTGCCCCTTTTCCGTCAATGAGCGACGAGCCTTTCGCGGTCGACCGAGTCGGCTGATTGTCAGGAACTTACGGGAGAATCTGCTGATGCGCCTATAAATTCCAGGCACTCTGCGTAGACAATTGCTCTGGCTGGCATCTGAGACTTGATCTTACAATACCGCCATGCGACTTCTCAGACTCGTAGGCTTTGGCCTGTCCGGCTTGATCGTAAATGCGACGCTCCAGATTGTACCTGGCGCGACTTGGACAGCAGTGCGTTTCGTCGTACCCATGAGCATATTGGCAACTGACATTAGACCAGACCAACACAGGCCAGCACATTCAGGCTCACGGCGCCGGCATCATCAAAGATGGCGAAAAGTGGTATTGGTAAATAGCTCTACGCGCAAGGGCGGCCTCTACCGGTGCTGATGCGCCCGCAGGATTGGCGAAGATAAAACAAACGGAACCGCTTTCACAAACATCAACTGCTATTCGTCTACGAATCTTGTCGAATGGTCTTATGAAGGCGCTCTAATCTCGCGGACTGCATCTGGCGACACAGGGCCCGATCGTGTTATTGAGAGACCAAAAGTTATGCACAACAAGCGAACGGGTAAGTATGTCCTGTGGGCTCACATTGACAGCGCCGACTATGGTGAGGCGAAGATTGGGGTCGCAATAGGCGACAGCGTTTGCGGAAAGTACTCGTATCTACGCAGCGAGCGACCACTGGGCTTCGAGAGTAGAGATTCTGGCGTGTTTGTCGATGACGACGGCAAGGGCTATCTACTGACCGAAGACGTATGACTGCCTCGTAGCACAGTAGGGATCTGTTTCTGACGAAGCCAGCGCCGCAACGGCCTACGCATCAACGCACTGTCTGATGATTATCTCAGCGTTTCCAGCAATGTCTACGTCTGGAAAGAAAAATACGAGTCTCCGGCCATGATCAAACACGAAGGCGTTTACTTCATGTTCGCCTCGCAGCTTACGGGGTGGAGCCCGAATGACAACTACTACAGCACGTCGACGTCTCTCTCGGGTCCATGGTCGTCGTGGCAAAAGTTCGCCGACTCTGGGTCCAACACGTACGCTTCTCAAACAAGCTTTGTACTGTCTGTGGGGGATGGGTACGTGTACATGGGGGACCGATGGCACAGTGAAAATCTGATGAGAAGCACATACGTATGGTTACCGGTTGAGATATCTGGAACGACGGCTAGCATGAAGAACGCTGTCAACTGGATCCTGGACCCCGGTACTGGAGCCAGCAGGGCCGGGCCCAAAGAAAACATGTACGAAGGCGAGACGGCAGAGCTTGCTAACGGAGCTATATCTCAAGCATGCTCCTCGTGCTCGGGCTCGAAGGCAATTGGGTACATTGGCGGCGTGCCCTCGGGGTCCGCCACGTTTTCCAAGGTGGAATCTTCAGCAACGACGCGCACGACTGTAAGGATCAAGCATCTCAACGGCGACAAGCAGCAAAGGTATGCAGCCATCAGTGTGAATGGGAAATCGCAGAGGGCGGCGTTCTTGCCAGACGGGGGAGGAGGCCCGGCAAGTTCAGTGGTGCACGTCAACGTGGAGCAGGGCGTCAACGAAGTCAAGGTTGGCGGGGTGGATGAGGGCTGGGGGCCGGACATTGACAGGGTGTTTGTTCCCGTAGAGTGAGGATGGGCTGATGAAGACTAGCAATGTATGGTGTTCAGTCCATCGACTTGCTCATGATGGCGTATTCGGCGGGGATGACGCTGTTTCTCGTGATCCTGTCGTCGGGGCTGCACTCGTCCCTGGTGTAGCCCAGGCTGTGGTACATGCTCTTTGCGCGCGTGTTTGCGGTGAAGACGGTCAGCATCGTCTTGGGGATGTGACATGCGCGCGCCACGCTCTCGACGAACTGGACGAGGCGGGACCCGAGGCCCTGTCCTCGCAGGCGCTCGTGGAGATGGATCTCGTAGATGTAGAGGACGGGGCGGTCGTGGTGCGGGGGGTCGTCGTGGGTGAACATGAAGGAGGTGAAGCCGAGGATGGCGTCGGGGCCGCCCTGGGCCGGGCGCAGCAGCAGATACATCATGTCGGCGTCGAGCATCTCGTCGCGCTTCCTGCGCGGGTCCCAGCCCATGGCCGAAGCCGCGTAGTCGTGGCCCGACGTGGCGTGGACGAGGCCGAGGCAGGCGTCGAGCTCGCCCGGGCGGAGGTCGAGAGCAGAGGGGACCCAGTGGAACGCGACGGGGCAGGGTCGCTGGGGCGCCTCGTAGGCACTGAGGGCGGCGTCCTGGCGCAGCAGCGTCTGCACCGTCTGCATGCGCGCGAGGGCCTGGGGCGAGTGCATGGTGGTGAGGTGAGGTGACGATTCCGCCGCCCGCCGCCCGCCAACCGCCAACCGCCCACCGCCCACCGCCCACCGCCAACCTTGGGCACTGGGACGCGCCCTCGACACATCGCACCGCCATGCTGCGCGCCTACGCGACCGTCGCCTCCAAGCCGCCCTCCCGCCTGCGCGCACGAGGAAAAGCTCCCGTGGGCCTGGACCACGTACCTGTCCCACGACGCATCCGGCCCGGCGCCACGCCCGCTGACGGTCCTGCAGTTCATCCAGCGCCAGCGCGCCCTGGCCCTGTGGCGAGACATTGTCCGCAGCACCGCCAGCATCCCCGACGCAGGCGCACGACGAGACATGCGCCGCTTTGCACGCTCCGAGTTCGACCAACACCGCTCCGTCACTGACCTGGGCCACATCCGATATCTGATTTCAGTCCGCCGCCCCAGAACCCCCGCAGCGTGCCCTGGCCCTTTGCTAACGCCTGCCCAGCATGGAAAGACACAGTTCCAGACCATCAAGGCCACCCTCATCAACGCTGGCCTACTCGCCGAATAGCCTCTGTTCAGACACTGCTGCCCCGAATTCCCAACCCCGTCCTGGCCATGGATGCCCCGGTCGAGCAACAGGCCGTCTGCGTCGTCGGCGCTGGGCCCGCAGGTCTGGCGGCTGCACACATCTGCAGACAGCACGGCTTCGCAGTCACCGTCTACGAGGCCGCAGACCGTGTAGGCGGCATGTGGAGACATGACCGCGGGGAATTTGGCGACAAGTGCAGTCCGGAGATGCGCACCAACCTGAGCAGATACACTGTTGCCTTTTCTGATCTGGCTTGGACATCGGTACATGTAGATATCTCGAACCCTGCTGCCGATCCACTAGCTGTTCCGCCTGTCTTTCCCAAAGCGTGGCAGGTAGAATCCGTGTACAGCATGCTGTGAGACAGTTACTGACTTCGTACATGCATCTTTAGGCACGTGGGCCGCTATCTTGCGGCGTATTCAGAAACCCTTGGCTTAACTGACGACATACTCCTCGAGCACCGAGTTGTCAGCGCATCACTGCAGGAAGATCATACTTGGAGAGTGGTCAGTGCCGACGGCACCCGTCAGCTAACATGCCGTACCTTTGATCGACTCGTCGTCGCCAGCGGCTTCTTTAACAAGCCAGCCCACACCTTCAATCCCGTTCCCTCCCACCCTCTCTCAAACATCCAACACTCCTCACGATTTCGGACTCTCTCTGCCCTGACCGAAACCCCCGGCAAGATAGTCGTGATTGGAGGCGGCATCAGCGGCTCAGAGGCTGCTTCTCAGGCTGCTTCTCAGATCTCCAACGCAAAGCACTCGCCTGGTGGAATGACATCCTCCCACGCCGACAGCAGGGTTTTCCACGTCATCAATCGTCCCTTCTACTGCCTGCCCCGCTACCTTCCACAAGACCCTCAGACCCACGACGGGCATTTCAAGCCAGCACCCAGATTCCTTCCCCTTGATCTGATTCTCTACAACCTGTCCCGTCGCGGCCATGGTGACATCTCTGCAGCTATCAGCACCGTTCCACCAGAAAAAGCAAAGAAAGGCCACGACTTCTTACGATCAAGTATAGGCTGCCATCACGCCGACGTCGGCTTCTCAGAGCTCGCGTACACGGCGACCCAGACACAACACCCTGGCTACACCGGTATAACCGACACGTATATGGAGTTTGTCAGAAGTGGCATCATTGTGCCAGTCCGGGGATGGGTTGAACACGTCGAGCAGGCAGCCAACGGTGATTGCCTAGAGATTCGTCTTGGCCAATACGAGCCCTGGTTCCATGGGCCAGGCGCAAAAGCTATGGTACTCCGCTTACTCGAGAGCCTAGGCGCATCGAAAAGGCTGACACTTTACAGGGCGAGAGCAGACTGAGTGATGTGGTCGGTATCATTGAAGCCACAGGCTACAAAGCCGACCTCGATTGGCTCGACGCCCGTGTCCAATCCCTTCTCGCTGACGGCAGCGACAACCCGAATCCGCGCATACCATATCTCCTGTCACGTGGTTCCGTCTTTTCGCAGCAAATACCTACAATTGGGTTCGTGGGTTTCTACGAAGGCCCTTACTGGGGCGTGATGGAAATGCAGGCTCGACTTCTGGCACAACGCTGGGCCAAACGAGAGCCTGAGCAGTCGGCGTCTCTCTCATCCGCCTTGTACACGTATGATGATACGAGGCATATGCAAAATGCCATGGGTCAGAGGTCCTTGCAAGTGCCGCAGTTCTGGATGGCCGACTACGTTGGACTAATGGAAGAGTTCGCACGAGAAACGGGCGTCTCACGTGACGACACCCTATTCGGTAGCCAATCGGGTCCCGCATTCCCATCGCGCTATCGACACACAGATAGCAGTCTGCAAGCCAAGGCAGTAGTCAGCGAAGTTGCCGGAATACTCGAGGCATCCCAGGAGCATGCTCGGTTTGTTGCAGCGGCCGTGTTCGCAGGCATGCAAGGTGTCTGGAAGATGACGCGCAAAATTGATTCACGCACCCAGACACCCGGTGGCACATTCGTGGGTACAGCTCACTTCCATCCGCGTCAATCTACCGATGCAGCGACCTACGCCTCCGAATACTTGTATATCGAACAAGGGACATTCACCATGGACGCTGGGCTGTCATTCCCTGCGACCCGTCGTTACGTCTATCGGTACAACGAAACAAGCGATGAGATCACCGCATGGTTTGTTGAAGACGACGAAAAAAGCGTCGGAAAGCTATTCAATACCTGGCGCTTCCACGCGCCTGATGACCAGGCTGGCGGCTGGATGGCTACGGGCTGCCATTGGTGCGATCCCGACACGTATCAAAATGACTGCGAATTCAAGTTTCGTGGTGCAAAGATCGATCGGTTCATGATCAGATACAAGGTGGACGGACCAAAGAAAGATTATCTGCATGAGAGCTGGTATCAGAGACCAAAGGTAGATGGCGGAGCAAACGAATGCGGATGAGGGCGTTGTAAAGACAGCGCAACGTTTGCAAAGGGCTATTCCATTGCGAATATATTGGGTGGGGTATCATATATAAATCGTCATATCGTACAGTTACACCTGGTCTTCAGGCCGGTCATGTGTTTAGTTGCTCAACACCTCCATCAGCGAGCGTACTGGGATGGGTAGGTGGCCCATCTCTCCCTATGCTCTCAAGGTCGGCCAGCAGCATCCTGAGATGATTCTCTCGGTTCTGGTTACTTCCCCAGGTGACCGCTTGCGAGTAGTACAGTATGTCCCACGCCTCGTCACCAATGTTTTGTAGGAACGTGGGCAAGGATCGCGCTTTCTGGTACGAGCGCCAGAGTATTCGGCGGATGTCATCGTTTGCGCCGATATAGGCAAGCTCAATGGCTTTATTGAACGATTTCAGGGCGGGCGCAATGTTGAACGGTGGGGGAAGGTCGACGCGGAGGCGTTGGAGAGCGGCAACGTGCTCTGGGTCTTGGAGGGCAGCAGCCATACGCTCGCTGAGCGGCGCAGTGCGGCTGTCCGCGAGTTGGTAGGGGTCAGGCGCAGTTTCGTGGGCGATGGAAGTCAGATCGCCTTGCTGTTGCTTGTTCTCGGAAATGAGCTTTTGTATGTACATTAGCTTCTCCATCAGCTTCGGGTCTTTCATGATCTCGTCAACCTTGGCCTGGAGCTCAGCGGGAACATCTTCTTCGTCCTCCACAAGCTCTCCGGGCTGCGATGCTTTGGACTGGGCGAGCTTCTTCAGCTCTTCGGCCAATTCTTGGGGGTCCATTTCACGCTCGAACACACCCTCTTCATCTTGACCCGATGTGGAGTCTTCGTTGATCGCTGCGTCGAGTTCGGCTTCGAGCCCGGTATCGCCACCCAACGACTTCATGACATCCCGCATCTGGTGCAGGAGCTTGTCCACGTCCTGCATGTCTTCGGGTGTCGCCATAGTCAGGTCCTCGTCTGGAGTCTCTGCTTGAGCAATGGCGTCTTCGGTCTCTCTCTGATAAGTCTGCCACTCGCGCTCCAATTCGGAGTCGGGGCGTTTACGCATAGCGGCGACCTTGTTCTGCATAGCTTCGTTGCCCTCAAGCTTGTGCATTGCCTTGTTCAGCATAGCCTGGAACACGGGATTGTCTATGTTTTCCACCTCAGGCATGTGGTCGATGCACGCTTGCAGGTCGGCCTTTGCGTCTCCGATGTCCGGGTCCTCGAGGACGTCTTGTAGTATTTCAAGTGTCGCCATCCGTAAGCCGGCGTTGAACTGCTTGCTCTCTGCCTCTGCCTTGGCAGCGCCCTGTTGTTTCAGTTGCTGGAGCTCCTCCCTCGACTTGATGCCTTTTTTGATGAGCTGGAGCTCATCCGTCAGTTCGGCGAAGTTTGGATTTGTCAGGAGGCTGTCGATGAGCCGCCGGTTCAAAGTTGCGTCGTCATGGTCGGGGTTCTTCCGAGACTCTTCTATCATCAGGTACATGTCTCTGTCCTTCTTGCGGTCTTCGGGCGTGGCTATGCGCTCAATCAGGCGCTGCGGCGTGCCTTTGTCCAAGTCCTGCTCGTACCAGTTGATGACGGGCAGATCGTCGCGTTCGAGTTCGGCATCGGACAGCGGACGCATTGCCTGGTCCATTTTCGCGTCATCCTCGAAGATGGAGCGTGAGCCTCTGAGCCGGCCTAGGAGCGAGGGCTTGGATTTCGTCGTTGCATCGTGCTCCGACCCATCGGGATAGCTGGCTTTGGTGCGTTTTCCGCGTCGGAGCAGCACTGGTGGGGGGCGAGCAGAAGGACATGGTGTAGCGCGAGCTCCCAGGAAAGCGCTTGAGCGTGTACACGCGCGCGAGAGCATCGTGGCGAGCTTGGTTGAGGAGCGAGAGTTCCAAGTCGCTGTCTCAAACTTGTGACGTTGTCTTGGCACCTCCGAGAACTCCGCAATTGCTTGTCACGCCTTAATAAGAGAGCTACCCAGGCGCGCTGCGATCATCAAGGTGGACTATCCTAATGCGGTAAGGCGGCAGCTGCCCGCAGTCCCCATCATTGCGAAAGCTGTATCAATCCCTTGTCCCTGTCCTGCCACCAGAAACGTCTCTCTCCGGCACATGATGAAGACGATGAGGACCAAATGGTTGCGCCACAAACAGCTCCGCGTCAGTGGGTTAGCGTCACACGTACATAACATACACCCGACGTGTCATTACTGAGTCAATCTAGACAGCTAATCCAATGCAGTCACAAAAGACACACGGTGCATTTCTCGAGTTACCAGGCGAGATACGAAATATGATCTACGCCATGGCCATCTACCCAGAGCTTTCTTCGCTCGTGATCGCAAATTGCACTAAGCCGGAGCATCTCGCCGCATCTGTGCTGCATCTTTCTGCCTTCCGCGTCTGTCGCCAGATACGGGCCGAATGTCTCTCCTACATTTGCGCCAATTTCTCCCTCAAGTTCCTTGGCCTGCAGACTGCGGATCTTTTCTTTTGGTGTGCGGGACTAGCCATCTCCGAGATCAAGGCTTTTGTTCTTGTGCAGCCCTGCATTGCTCTGAAAAGCAAACAAAGCGGAGATATGAGTGAGCGCTTCCTAGCTGCGCTAGATAAGATGGACCAGTTGACCGAAGTTGTTTTGGAGGAAACCGCGAAGGTTCTGGCGTTGGAAAAGAGTGAAGAGCAGAACGAGTTCACAAGAAGGGTCGAGGCTTTGAGCAAAAGAGGCGTGAAAGTCCAAGTCAGCGTGGGGAACAGATATATCATGTAGAAGGAGCGACGTCGCTTTCGTGGAGAGGCTGCTAGAGAGAATAGTGCGGGCGCACACGTCTTGGAGGTGCCGTGTCCTTACCCGCCATTTCCAACAACCTTCGGCTTCTCTTTCACACGAGGTCGCATCTATAGCACCTCATATCGCGTGTATGCTGGGCTCACGAAGCATCACTGTACTGGTATCTGTCCCCTCCAAGCCATATTTTGACAAGTCCCACGTGACCACTGTAGCATTGAGAGCATAGAGTTAGCGTGTGCCATACACGCAGAAGTAGTAGCACATGTATGCTTTCAGGCTCAAGACTTACCTTCTTTAGCTTGAAATCCCATTCTCCCGTACAAAGGCTTGCCCATCGGGGACGACTCCAAGAAGGCAGGTAGTCTCGCGCGGTCCGCTTGCTTGGTACCCCACTCAAGTAACATAGATCCTGCACCTCGGCGGTGGTGATCTGGGTGCGTTACGAGGATATGCAAAACTGCTGTCCGTCAGCAACACCTTCCGACGCAGCGCGCTGGATACTAGCAGTAAAAGGGCTTCGTTCCCATGTACTCCCTTCTTACTCGACTCAGGAATACCATGAAGTCTAGCAAGCCCTGTCTTCCCTTGGCTTCATCATCTGGCACTGGATACATCTTGCTGGCTTCTTCCTCACTGCGCTCCCGCTCGTTGATGCGCCATTTGGCGCCTGCGATCATCTTGCCATGGGCGTCGGTATCGATGACTTTGAGATATACAACGTCAGGCTCGTCGCGCCAAGACTTGACGTGCTTTTCGATAGACTTTTGGATGTACTCGTCGGTGATGGGGTTAGGCGTGAGCAGGGAAGTGATACCACCGCCGTTGGCAAAGGCGGCGATCTGTATGGCGACGAAGGTTTCAAAGTCGGCTGCCGAGGTTATGCGGTGGACCTGAAGAGGCATGTTGCCTGTGTGTTACCAACACTTGGACTCGAGGCTGCGTCGTAGACAATTATACAAATGGACCACCACAGACGGGGATATTGCACAGTCGCTAGCACCTTCCTCTTAGGGCGAAGGCGGGGTGGTTCCTACGGCCAACGCGCAACACCAAAGAGGCACTGCCGCCCTTTATTTCGCCTTGCTACCAGCGTTCAGCCCTTTTCAACACGTCCAAAATGGAGACATGTTGCACGGGCCTGATCAGCGCAGACTCACAGCAGTGGCCAAGGATGTTGGGCCATGATCTGTCGGCCCACAGCTACTTCGACATCGCCCTTCCCCGAGTCCTTGGCCGCATGGCTGACTGCAAGACTCCACCAAGCTTTTGCGGACCGCGGCATCTTCGCGACGATATATGCGCACCATGTTGTTTCCATCGCCGGCATGTTGTGCTACCGTAGGCTTGGAACGTTGCTTGGCCTGGACTCTGGAACGCACGACGATTCGAGGTGTGGAGGCATGGAACGGGTTTCTGAAACAGCCACAGCATGTGACGCGATGCGACAACTCCCAAAGTCATGAGACATGGTTTTGGCCGAACACCAGGTTGCCGATGACGTTGTGAGATGTCGAGAACTCTGATTCAGCTCAGACATACTTATGTGGATGCGATTGGCCCTTCACATTGTCCAAGCGCAAAGTCGGGAGCCTTGAGCGCAATCCAGAGGGCAGTTGACGACAAGGAACGCGAACGACAGAGCACCAGACTCAGGGACAGGAGACACCGCCACAAATCTCATGGCAGCTTCGCCATATGAAGCTCGTCGCCTCGATCGTTCCTGCTGCCCATGCACATCGCTCGTCCACCTCGGCAACAGCTGTCGCAGACCTGGCCAGGTGCGTGGGGACAACGGCTACTGGCATGTAGCTCTAGCCCCAACCCCGTTCCCGACGAGCTTGAACCGACATGGAAGGGCTCATAGAATATGTCGCACGACACTCTTGACTGCCAGTATGCGTGCTACATGCGGTCTGGCATGACGTTTGATGTGTCTTTGGAAAACAAGTGAAAACATGACAGGTGAGTATACTACATGTTCAAACTCATAAAAAGCGGTGGTTAAATGAACAGCGTTAACCATGGCATCTTGCTACATGATACTATAAAGGGGCTTGTCGCATGCTTTTTGTGGTGAACAGCAGTCCATACATTCCACATCTTCTCTTCCAATACCCGTACTTGTTTTATCCATATTCGCATAATACTTTGTAATACCCTAATATCGCTTCCTTGACGGAACATAGCGAGACGACTCTATCATTATGAAATTCCTTATTTTTTTCCTACCATCAGTCACACTTGCCGCCCTCGCCTCAATCTCACAAAATGATGTGAAGAGCGGCGGCGGCTGCAAGCCCATGACTGTCCTCTTTGCCCGCGGAACGACTGAGTTGGGCAATATGGGTTCAATTGCTGGACCACCTTTTGCTATCGCTCTTGGCGCGATGATGGGAGGTGCTGGTAACGTCGCTGTTCAGGGCATCCAGTACCCAGCAGATGTGCCTGGTTTTCTTGTTGGTGGAGACAAAGGAGGCAGCCAGCTCATGGCACAGATGGTCGGACAGGTTCGGGCCCAATGCCCGGACACTACACTAGTAATGGCAGGCTACTCGTAAGTAACACACTGCCCTCAATATCTTTCACATGATTCGCAAGTCTAACAAGAGATCTAGACAAGGTGGTCAGCTTGTCCACAATGCTGCTGATATGCTTAGTGCCGAGGACTCGGCATTTGTGTCTAGCGCAGTCATATTCGGTGACCCAAACAACGGCAAACCGGTCGGCAAAGTCGCAGCAGCAAACACTAAAATCATCTGCGCACCTGGCGACCTCATCTGTGCAGGCCAGCCTATCATCTTGGCACCTCACCTGTCGTATGGTGCTAACGCGGCTCAGGCCGCGCGATTTGTTATGAGCAACATGGCAGCTGGTGGTGCGGCGGCTGGAGCGGCAGCAGGAGCAGGAGCAGGAGCTGCTGCTGCTGCTGCTGCCAAGGGGGCTACTAAGGGGGCTGCCACTCGCGCGGTGCAAGCAAAGTACTTCATCTCTTAGACCCCAGTGTCGGTGTGTAGACTCCTCTTCACATGATGCGCTATATATCTATATCTCCTCTATTATAGTAGCTGCAGGCCAGCCTACATTACGTTGTCTACATAATTATAAGTAAATAAATCTTCAAATCCGTTTTAGAGTTCCCCTGCCCCAGAGTCACCACACATGTGCGTCTTCCTCGATATGTCTGGAGCGCTCATTCGCAACCTGGGTTGGACTTGACTATGTGTGTAGAGCCGTCTGATGAACACGCATACGAACTGCAACGCTTGTCGACCGGGGTCGCTTGAACAAACGGTCAAGACATGAAGTCTACTCAACGATCTTCGATATCTTGGAGAGCTGGCTGCATCTGAGAGAAAAGGAAGAGCAGTTAATCCCGTAGCAGCACCTCAGTACCGAGAAGATTGCAATATACACCGAGACACTGTTCGACAGCAGTAAGAGCTATGACTCAAATGAGAGGCATGATGAATTTTATTGGGAAGAAGTATATCGACCAGATAGTGAGTGATACAACATGGCCTGTTGAGTGAGCAGGTGCGCGACGCTACAAAGAAGGGCTGAGGATTACCGAGAACTCACGGCGAAGTCGGGTTATCTTAACACCAGCATCCCATAGACTCCACTAGTCGATTCTGAGAATTTGGGAAAAGACGTGTGAGGACTGCGGAACGTGCTCAACAAGCTTCAAGGCGAAAAGACTAGGGCTCGACTATTATAAAGTGGGATAACTAGACAAGCTATATACAGAAGCTAAATGCTGTGGTATCATACAACGTCAAGGCTCAGGGAGAAGTTTCCCAATCACTCATTATCCTGACTGCTCGTTGCTTGCCTGGCAGCTTGTCTCTGCGACAGTGTTTACACTCTAAGCAGGCAGCAAGCCACAGCATATGAAGCGACCCCATCCATTCCTCTTCGTACCCTTTGGTTTCTTTCCACTCGTCTCTTCCTCCTCCTCGCCAACAACACGGAGGAACACCTCGTCCAAGGTGGTAGGCGAAACCGAGTAGTATTCCAAGCCTAGCTCTTGGCGATTAGATTCTAGCAACTGGATGAGGCCGGGGATGCCGCCTAGATCAGATGCTGAAGCAGCTGAGGACGAAGTGTTGATTTGGTGAACCTCTGCTTCGGTGACCTTGCCATCTTGAGCATTGTCAAGATGCGCGGGCGATGCAGTCGATTCGGGGGAAGCAGCCTTGAGTACTTTGAATCGGAGTTGTCCGTGGCCTCCACCTCGCGAACCCCACTTGTCGAGCTGAACACCGGGAATCTTCCTCTGAACCCATTGCTTTACGGCTTCCATCTCTTTTTCTGTGGTTTCGGGTGCAGATTTGAGCACAAGCTGTACGACCCAAGCATCGCCATACTGCTGCCCTAGATCACTGACTGTGCCCAGCGCAAGCATTTTGCGCTTCATGATACCGACGCGGGTGGCGAGCTTGTCCGCTTCTTCCATGGAATGAGTGGTGATCAACAAGGCACGCCCAGGTGCCGCTACACCGAGCAGTGTGCGCCACATGACTCTCTTCGCAGCTGCATCCATACCCGAGGACGGTTCGTCCAACAGTAAAACAGACGGATTGCCCATCAATGCAATGCCCAGACTGAGCTTCCGCTTGTTACCACCCGAGAGTTTGGACGCGAGACGGTCGTGAAAGCGCCCCAAACTGGTAGCCTGGAGGATCGCATCAACACTGGTCTTTGGGTCGGGGACGCCGCGAGCGCGAGCGTAGAAGTACAGATGCTCCGTTACTGTCATTGAATCCATGGCATCGAATTGCGGACACACACCGAGATGACCTCGTGCGGCTGCACGCTTGCTGATGATTGAGATGTCTTCGATCAGAACGTCACCACCTCCGTTGATGTGTGTCGTAGGATGAATGTCTCCACGGATGAGCGAGATAGTCGAGGACTTTCCAGCACCGTTGGGACCAAGAAGAGCGAAAACCTGGCCTTGGGGGATGCCAAAGGTGATGTCGTTCACAGCGTGATTGGAGCCGAACGTTTTGTGTAAATGCAGCGCACGTAGGCTGTCTTTGCTCTGCTCAGCGCGTGTCATTTCGGCAGCGACAGCAGGAGGGATGGTATCCACGTTCTCTTCCGAGTGCTGCTGACGGCTTTTTTCTCGGTTGAGAAACGCGGGTCGGTAGCCCGAGTCCCACCACACGAGAGCGGTGAAAAGCAATATGATTTGTACAATGAGATACAAAATGGGTCCTCCGTACACTGTCAAAGCGCCAGGATAGCTAGGAATTTGATTGCCATCGCATAGTACGCTGAAAGAGTTGAGAGAAAGCAGTTGCGTCCTCAGTAAGCTTGCGGAGGGCGAGATCAACGAGACAGTCCAGTGGAAGTACTGAATGTAGGAGTCAATGGCGTATGCGGGTGCGTAAGTCAGTATGGCCATGTAACCGATAAAGTATATCAGGTAGAGCGACACCATGCCTCCGGCAGCGAAGGCAAATGCCGCCAGTTGCGACGTGACGACAATGGAGATTAGGTAAGCAAAGAGCGTCGCACACAGGCCGTAGAGAAAGAACACCACGAAGAGGTACCCTGGTGCATACCACGCATCGGAAGCCTGTAGCAACGTTAGCCATGCAGATTTGTATGTGCCACTAGGAACTTACTGCAGCAAAGATCCCTGTAGTGACGGCAGAGATCACAAGCACGAACAGGAAATCAAACGCCGTGTATGCCAGCCACAGTGGCACAGCCCGGATACCGTTGCTGTAGTGCAGCGCTCGGACATTCCTAAGCCGCTCTTGTGTCGGATATAGAGCAAATAGCGCTGGGTAGACACACATGGCCAGGCCAAAATACAAGATCAGCTGTAGCGTGTCGCCCATATTAGGAGCAAATGGCACGGCGAATTGCTGGTACTGTGTGGAGATGGTGATGTTTGTCAAGATGTTGTCGAGAGTATTCAGTGTGATGAGGCCACCGATGACACCGCCATTAGCAAGGTAAGCCATGAGTGGCGGGCCGTTATCATTTAGGAAGAAGCCACCGGGTGTGATGTTGCGGAAACGCGTGTTGACGTAGTCGTTGAATTCATCGAGTGTGTCCACGAGGTGAAAACTGTCCTCGGAGACTCCTGTTCGTTGAATGATGGTGTCGATAGCAGGACCGACGGTACTTGCCGGACCGATGGGGATGAGAGGGACATCGTCTACGTTGGAAAGCGAGAATATGGTAGGGTCGTTAGCGCTGGCTCCAGGATCGCATCCCACAGCCTCGTAATCCTTTAGGAACAGTGTGACTAGTCCCGCCGCCACAATCGGAAGGAGTAAAGCGAATATGTAGGGCCAAAAGTTGCGTTTGACAATGGTGATACGCTTCTGTACGAGTATGAGTATCTGCCTGAGTAGACTAGTGCCACGACCTTTGCTCATTTCTAGCGTCTTGTCGGTGTCAGAGTGATCTGAAGGTACGTCTCGATCCTTGTCCGACGTTGGGGTTCCAGCTTGCCCACCGTGGTCAGCGTCCATTAGGTTGTACTCCTTGACTTCCTCAGCATTGGCCAGGAAGACATCCTCCAATGTCGGGCCAACAATGTCGTAGTTCTTGACGTCATGATGTCTCAGAATATCAACGAATTTGGTGGCGGGCAGTGCGTTCTCGAATTGGTACTGTAGCATGCCTTCGGAAGGTGCCGGTTTCTTGATGGCATCCACTGGGGGCTTGACAGGAGCGTCTTTCGGATACGTAACGTGGTATCCAGCGCCGACTTCATGTTTGAGCTGAACCGAAGTACCCTTGGTTTTGAGGATACCGCGGGAAAGGATGGCAACGTAGTCGGCAAGGACATCTGCCTCGTCGAGAAAATGTGTCGTGAGCAAGAAGGTGCGGTCACCCCGCTCAGCGAGTAGAATCTCCCAGATCTTCCTTCGCGAGAGTGGATCCAATCCGGACGACACCTCATCGACGCAGCAGACTTTTGAACCGCCGGTGAACATCATGGCCAGCTGAAGCTTGCGCTTTTGACCCCCAGAAAGTGTGCAGGACTGTGCTCTGATCTTGTGCCCCAGATCGCAAGCGCGTATCAGGTTTTCGATGGTATCTTTGGTATCGTAGGTGCCGGTTGACTTTAACTGGTTAAAGATACGAACGTGTTCGTAAACAGTCAACTCATCCCACATGACATTTTTCTGGGGGCACAGTCCAAGGCCTCCGGTGCCATCAATCTCGATCGCTCCACTAGTGATGGAGTTGAGACCCGCGATGGCGTCCAGCGTGGTGGACTTGCCACTACCATTGGCACCAAGCAAAACCATAATCTGGCCTTTGCGCGCCTTCATGCTGAAGTCTTGCACGGCGACGACTGTTTCCGGTGGCTTGACGCCGAACTTGGCAAGGACGTTGCTGCGAAACCAACTGGGAGTCCAGTGCTTACAAAAGTTTGTCAGGATGATGTTGTGATCCGGCGAAGACGTTGTAGTCTTCCGGTCGGCCGAAACGGTGCCGTAGAGCCAGCGCTCAACAAGAGCGCCCAGAACAGGGTACACAAAAGTCTGTATAATGGCAAATATGCAGAAGACGATGCCGGGAGTAGTCCAGATGTGGTCCTGGTAGTCGGGCGCGGCTTGGACGAGGTTCATTCCAACGAGCTGTCGCTCAAAACGGGCCACGCAAATAATGAAGAAGACGTAGTTGATGGACGGAAAGAGCAGGCTCAGAACGTATACAGCAGCTGTGCTGAAAGGTCCAGCGACTTGGGCGATGATGGCCAGGAGGATCGGGACGATGACGATGGTGATACCAGATAGTTGGGCTTTGCGGAAGAAAGCCGCGCCGAAGATGGAGAAGCTGGTCAAGGACAGGCCAGCAAGGATGTGGAAGATGATCAATATGGCAGCGTTGGAGGTTTGGAAAGCCAGAGCCCAAAGGATGGCGCCCATAATGACCCAGCCCGGGAAGTAGATGATGTCGAAAGCAATGTGCATGGACAGAAGACGGGCAAACTGCGTGTGCCATGGCTTTTTGGCGGGCGACATGGCTTCGACCAGCTGGGATATGCCGCGTTCTCTCTCCTCGGCCATTTGCCCCGTGAGCTGATAGGTGACGCCGCACACGCCAATGTACAGAGCCACGCCCATGATGTTGATGAGTGCGCCCATGTACAGGGTCCTGATGCGATCGTCGTATTCTTGCTGCGTACGCTCTGTGTACGGGTACTCGTCGGTGGCGGGGATGGCAGCAGAGCCCTCGACGGAGGCGATGGCCTGGTCGATGGCGCGCTGGAAGGGCAGAATGTAGATCTGGACATCGTTGTCGTCCTGGCCCACGTAGATTTCCTCTCCCAGCGCTCCGTCGGATCGGATGGTGTAGTTCCAGCTCTCGCCCTGGCCTTGGCTCGGACTGGAAAGGAAGGACACTGCACCATAGCATGTGCTGGCGCCCCGCAGCGAGCTCTCGCACGTCGAAAGCAGTTGAACATCCTGCTGAATAGTCACGGCCTGCAGGCCAGCGTCGCGGACCTGGGTGGATAGCTGTGCAATGACGTCTTGAATGTCGCCACCAGTGTGTCCGTTGTTGACGAAGACGACCTTGTCACGGCCGCCTTGGGCAGCACTGAGGGCGTCGGGAAAGGAGCGGATGAGAGACGGCTCACCGATGCCGTACTCTGACGGCGGGACAAAGAAGTTTTTCGCATAAGATATGAAGAACATCTGCGGCAGAGCCCTGGTTAGCCATTGTTGTGCGGAGGGGGGCGACGAGGCGTCGACATACAAAGATAATGGGAGCCCAGAATGCGCGGACACTCGTGAAGAACCAGTGGCGCACGAAGACGACGAGCAGCGTCTTCTTGGTGAGGATCCATGTCTGGCTCACGATTGCGCCCGCCATGGTGGCTTTGTAGTCTTGGAGCGTCGTCTCGAGATGGGGTCGCAGTCGCTACAAGACCGCGCGTGGAGGCATCCTGCTTCTCTTCGGAGAGTGGAAGGGCGCAGAGAGCGTCTTGAAGCATGGATGGCGAAGAGACGACGCCAATGCCGCGCCCCGTACCCAGCGTATACGGAACGACGCCGAGCAGACGACGTCTTGTCCGACGTCTTGGACCCGCGCCAGCCCTCCAGGGCCGTCGCCATGATCCACATGCGCCAAGCTTGGAAAGTGCCAACACGCTGCGTGCCTGCCCAGCGGCCCGGCTTACCTCAGCCTGCTCCCGTAGCTGGGTCCAGGTCTGTGTCTGTCGCGACGCCTGTCTACCACAGTGGGCATGCCTGAGCACGCTGTTCGAACGCGGCTCGGCGACTGCATCCGCCCAGACAGCGCCCAGTCATGACAAGCCTCGCGTGCACATCCTGGCATCCTGGCATCGCTGCGCCTCCTGTCCTGTTTGCCGTCGCGTCATCGATTGTGTGCGACGCGGTAGGGCCATCGTGCCATGACCTGCCCCAGACGGGCCGACGTGTGCCGACAGCGTGGTTTACAGTACACCGTCGCCGCAACCTCACCTCATGCTAGGAGAACAAGTCTGGGTCCGTCGAATATTCACTCACGCCCTTTGCGTCTTGATATGCTTGTCCGCTCGGCTTCGTGTGCCCCAGTCACGCACGCAGCTCTTCTCCAGGTTCCCGAGGTCGTAGGGACCTATCGCTCATCTGGGATAGTCACGTGATGGTGTGGTATCGACCACCCTGGACGAAGCTATGACGGGGGGTTCGTGGCTGCCGAGGCCGTGGCACGCGTCGGCGCAGCCTCCTCCCACAGCAGCGGCATCTCTCCTGCGCAACGACGACGACGACGCCGACAAGCAGCTCGCCATGGACTTTGACGAGGCGCTGCCCTCTTCGCCGCCGCCCTCTTCGCCGCCGTGCGCGGGCACCGACGACCTCGCGCCCAGCCCCTTCTTCGAGCGGCACCCCACGGCCTTCACCACCAAGTCGAGCTCCCCTCCGCCCGTCTTCTCCAGCGACGACTCGTGCGAGTCGGTCGACGTGGCCAACTACGAGTCCCCGCGCATACACAAGAACAAGCGCAAGGGCGCGTGGTGGGACACGCACGCGTCTGCCCACGCCAGCCCCCAAGTCAAGAAGACCAAGTTCGCGCGCAACTTGGACTCGGGCATCTACATGCTCAGCGACGCGACCAGCAGCTGCGATGACCTGCCCCTGCCCCCGTACATGCCGCCAGCCTCTCTCCGCGCCGCCGTCTCGCTCCCCCGCTCGCTCCACGCGCGAGCTGCCGACGATGAGGCCATGGACGTCGACGTCGACGTGGCGAGACACGCCGCTCCAGCGGCCGTCTTCAACCGGCACATCGACGACGGCCTTGCCGCGGACCGCGAGTCGTACGACCTCGTTGGCCTCGACCTCGCCGACCGCGACATCACACGCATTGGCGAGCTCAATTCCGTCATCAGCCACCCTCCCGTCTACGATAACGAGCTCCCCACGGCGGGCCAGTACCGCTCTCTGCTCCCCAGGCTCCACGTCAACCTCGGCAAGAACAAGCTCCGTCGCCTCGTGCCCGCTTTGTTCCACCTCGACGATCTCACTGGCCTCTATCTGCGCCAGAACGACATCGACGAGCTTCCCCAGCAAATCAGCCGCCTGCGCAAGCTCGAGGCCCTCGACGTATCCCTCAACAAGCTTCACTACCTCCCCTTCGACATCGTCACTCTTCTTGCCCCACATGGAAACATGACCCGCCTCACTCTCATGGGTACCGATCTGCTCCAGCCAATGTCCTTCCGCCGCTTCTCCCTCACCGACTACCAGAAGCAACACCAAGGGCCCCTTCACCACCTCGATGACGTACGAGAAGACGCAAACAAGCAGCTCGCTCATCTCTATCCAACGCTGGCAACGTGCCAAGACCGCGACCAGGCTGTCTGGCGCATCCGCTATTTCGAGTCCTGGGCCAACTCTTTTGGCGGTGCAGACGACGCCCGAGAGTGCGCCGCTGAAGATGTTGGCTTCTATTCGCACCACCCTTCGTTGCGCCTAGAGGCTTTAGTAGAGGGCGATGCCGTTGTCCACGCGCCACGGTACATTGCTCGGACTCTGGTTTCTTACTATGGGCAGGATGGCAAGCTTCTCAAGGGCTCTCCAAAGCTCCCTACTTCCGACCAGGAACACTACTCGGTAATCATCGAGACGAATCAGGGTACATACGGCCTACCTTCCTCACCGTGGTTCGTCCCTCCGTGCACAAGCAAAGTTTCCTCCCTCTTCACAACGACCCTGCATATGGCACTCCACTCTTTGGAGCCCCACAAAATACGTGACTACCTCAGCCCGTGTGCTCTCCCCATGGTGGAAGCCATTCTCTCGCGAGCAGAAGCGAACGCTGCCGACGGATACGGTCTCTTCCGCGAGTGCCATGTCTGTCGCAAGCATTACGTTGTGGCACGCGCCGAGTGGATTGAATTCTGGAGTCGGGGCTCAGGTGACTTTCTTCCACTGAGAGTTAGCGTGTGCTCGTGGGGTTGTGTACCTCCAGGCATGGTCAAGAGACCGCAGAAGGAATTGACATGGTGAGGCCAGGAGGTTGTCAGTTGATGCCAGACAGTAACGTGAGATGTTTATTGTAGTCACAAACCATCAAGTTGTGTCGTGAAACAAGTCATACTCTTGCAGGAATACACCAAAGACACTCGGGTTGCATCGGTCACACAGTCTCCGACACGCCTGTCTATCCCGACACCTAGAACACTACCCGTGGACTCGAGATGTAGCTAGGTAGAAATCATGTAGCAACTCCCATATCCATGCAGTAACACCTTCTTGGCATGGTGCTCAACAGCCATCGTACTTTGGCCCGTCTACTCCACATGCGAAAAGCCCTTGGCGGAAAGTGCGCTAATCTTGCTGGTCGCGTTTACGACAGCTGCTCTACATCACTCCTATTCCGAAACTTAAGCGTGTTGCCTACGCTTGGAACATGTATGGCGGAATGATGACAACCGTAGCTGCCTTTCTCAGCTAGATGGATTGCTAGCCGAAACAGGCTTGGACGGCGTTGTTCGGACGATTGCGATAACAACACGCCGTGTTAGTGGGCATCCCTGGTGCATCACTACTTCTTGTAGGCCTATATCTCGTACTCCAATTCCTGATTCGATACCAAGATGTAAGGCTCGCCAAGCACACCTGGGCATGTTCTCTGTGCGAGCGTGTTTGTCGTGCCTTCCGAGACCACCTGCACACAAGCACTTCTACGCAGCTGCGCAGTTCCATGCTGCACCCATGGATGTGCAGATGGAATCGAACATCTCTACAAGTAGCCTAGCTCGTCTATGAACACTGAAGAAGCTTATCAGCTCTTGTACTCTCTTGCCGTTGTCCTTATCGGCGCCTATCTTCAGCCCTGGTTCGTATCCTTGCCAGTCTCGACTCGTTCCACCGGACCATCGTCCGCGGCTTGACGTGAGCGTATGGAGAAAGCCATTTTCGCGTTCATCTGGGGTTATCATGTCCGGCTTGGTGAATCCGCGTGGGACCACGTATCGCAGCTGGACAAGCGGTCCTTGGTTACACGGCTAGCATGCTGACCGGGTTTACTTGATCCGACTGCATGCAAGACTCTTATCTACAATTCAACTCCCTTTTTTACTTCTTGACTGATTATTTACCGTCAGAGTCCCAAAAGCAGTCATGTCCGAGAAGAAGGCAGAAGACTCGGCTATCGGAGAACGGAGCGTGGACTATGGCATTGGCCATGTTCGCAAGTCGCATACGGCGAGTCGCAGGAAAAGCTCCGCTGTCGATCCAGAGATTCTTGCGGGAGAGATATTCGACGAGCGTTATGAGACTACGCAGCGTGGTCTGAAGTCACGGTCAGTAGACCCCTCTTGATACCCTATATCCTCAAAGACTGACGGAACGTAGACATGCTCAAATGATTGCGTTGGGTGGCACAATAGGTACCGGGCTCTTTGTCGGCTCAGGCCAAACCCTCGCTCGTGGCGGCCCGGCCTTCATCCTGTCCACGTACATCGCCATGTCGTTCTTGATCTTTTGTACCGTTGCGGGTATCATTGAAGTCGCGGCCTATCTGCCGACCCCGGGGTCTTCCATGGTAACTTGTGGCCGTACCCAAGGCATGTGACACACGACTGACCTTGTACCTTCAGAACCTTTTCGGTTACCGCTATGTGTCGCGCTCTATGGGGTTCGGCCTGGGTTGGCTATACTTCTACTCGCTCGGTATCCTTGTGCCTTACGAAATCACGGCAGCCGGGTTGGTCATTGAGTATTGGAACCCGCCCGTGAACATCGCAGTGTGGATCACAGTCATGATCATTGTCATCGTTGGACTGAACTGCTTTCCAGTCAGGTTCTACGGCGAGACAGAGTTCTGGTTTGCCGGAACAAAGGTTATCATGATTTTAGGGCTCCTGATTCTGTCATTTGTTTTGTTTTGGGGTTAGTAATA